GAGATCTCAACATGTGCACGCGTGTAGACCAAAACTGCATAGAAAATTGTAAAACACCGACGGAATCAGGCTTCTCTGCGAGCGCTCGGTCGAAGCGTTGACGAAGGGCTGGATTCGAATTGAGTAGCGACATCTGAAGCGTTGTATCCGCAAGCAGCTTCGCGTCATCGTAGTTTTCCTCGTTGTCTTTGCCACCAGCAGTCACAGTCTGCGCCATAGCGATGGCAGCTGAGGCGCTGCTGTCCCCACCCTCCTTGCCACCAGCAGCAGGAGCCGGAGACGGAGCGCTCTGCTGTTTGGAGGCCTCGATCCATTTGCGCAATAGACTGGTTATGTTCTGTTGGTCGTCGCGAGCGGTAGCGGAGGTGAATGTAAGGGTGTGGTTGCCAGCTAGGGGCGCTGGCTCGGGTACGACGATTTTTATGGAGGCCTTGGCAGCGGTCGCGGGCGTCTGTTGGAGGTCTAGAGAGCGTCAGTGGTGTATAGCGTCTTTCTCGTGAGGCCTCGACGTACTGCCTATATCTGCTATGGCTATGGACCACGGAGCAGGCGCATTGGCCGCGCCACTGATCGACTTCCAGGACACCGTCTTGCCATCCGCAGACACGGCGACCCTGCCGTTATCCTTCTTGTACTGGGCAGCGGCGTCGGCCATGATGGCGGGGTGTAATGTCGCGACGATCAGTGAGGCGTGCCTGGCTTGAGGCTGACGCGGTGCTAGCTTGTCTGGGCTTCCCCAGATTCACGCGTCGCACGTGACTACGCATTAGCGAACGGCATGGCAGCCGCTGAGGCTCAGGCAAGGCTGTACCCTACTCCAAAACTCAATTCGACGTTCAGCTGGAATGCATCTTTTGTTTGATGGGTTTGGCTATGTGGCCTCTTCATCTCCTCGCCCACTTCAGAACGCGTGTCTGCAAACATGGCGCATGGCTCGCATCAGCCAAGAGAAGTAACACATCAGGCGCAACGGATACATATCCGTGCCATGCAGCGTCAGAAGCCGTCAGAGGCTGCATGCGAGTTACATAAGGCCTGCCCTGCTATTGGCTGGTGGTGCGAGAACACTGGATGAGCGACCACTTCGTCATATCGCAGCGCCGCCGGGACCAGCAAAGAGTACCACGGCAAGCCTGCACAGGTCTGCAGACTGTACTTGGAGAACAACAAGCAGACGAGAAGATGCAGTGTTAATATAGACTTCACGGTGTTCGGTCGCTCCCTTGAATGTGGTGGGTGGTGACCGGTCAGAAATCCCGCGATCCATGATACGCGCTAGGCCGGAACACGGGGCCTGTCCTGGGCTGCATCAACTTCTACTGCGTGCGACGCTTAACTTCGACTGCACATTGCTACAGCTGAGGCTTTTCTTCTTCTCATCGTCGTCCGTTTGGATGTCACCCATCCCTACCTCCGCTTTGTTAATCTAATCCCCGTCATGTTGCGCAACACCCTGCGCCAGTGCTGCTCCCGCCAGCTCCAGTGCGCCCCGGCGAGAGCATCCTTCTCGAGCCTCGCACAGCCCTCTCGAACCGCTCTCTCGACATGTCGCCGCCCGCTCGCCGTGACGCAGCGCCGCCAGTATGCCGTGTCGTCGGAAGACACCAACAAGGGCGTTGTGCGTGCCTCCCAGCCAGACCCTCAAACTCTTCGACCCATAGCTAACAATGACGGCATAGGACCCCAACGACTCGTTCCTCCAGGGCAACACGGCCAACTACATCGATGCCATGTACATGCAGTGGAAGCAGGACCCCGCCAGCGTCCACTACTCATGGCAGGTCTACTTCCACAACATGGAGTCCGGCGACATGCCCGTGTCGCAAGCCTTCCAACCGCCGCCAAACATCATGAGCTCGCCCCAGGGCGGCGCCGCGAACAGGCCTGGCATGGGCATGGCCTCCGCCGAAGGTACCGACGTCATGAACCATCTCAAGGTGCAACTGCTCGTCCGAGCCTACCAGGCCCGCGGTCACCACAAGGCCAAGATCGACCCGCTGGGCATCCGCTCCGAAGCTGAGCAGTTCGGATACAGCAAGCCGCGCGAACTCGAACTGTCACATTACAACTTCACCGAGAAGGACCTGGAACAAGAGATTGAATTGGGTCCTGGTATCCTCCCGCGCTTCAAGACCGAGTCCCGCAAGAAGATGAAGTTGAAGGAGATCATCGACGCCTGCGAACGCCTCTACTGCGGCTCTTACGGAGTTGAATACATCCACATCCCGGATAGGGAGCAGTGCGACTGGCTCCGTGAGCGCATCGAGGTTCCCACACCCTTCAAGTACTCCGTCGACGAGAAGCGCCGCATTCTGGACCGCCTGATCTGGGGTACCAACTTCGAAGCTTTCCTGGCCACCAAATACCCCAACGACAAGCGATTCGGTCTTGAGGGTGGTGAGAGTCTGATTCCCGGAATGAAGGCCCTCATCGACCGCAGTGTCGACTTTGGCGTCAAGGACATCGTTATCGGCATGCCGCATCGTGGTCGTCTCAACGTGCTCTCCAATGTCGTCCGAAAGCCCAACGAGTCCATCTTCAGTGAATTTGCCGGTACTGCCGAGGCCAACGAAGAGGGCTCTGGTGACGTCAAATACCACTTGGGCATGAACTTCGAGCGCCCCACCCCATCCGGAAAGCGCGTACAGCTGTCTCTTGTCGCCAACCCGTCCCATCTCGAGGCCGAAGACCCCGTCGTACTAGGAAAGACCCGCGCCATTCTGCACTACAACAATGACGAGAAGGAAGGTTCCAGCGCCATGGGTCTGCTCTTGCACGGTGACGCCGCTTTCGCCGGTCAGGGTATAGTATACGAGACTATGGGCTTCCACCAGCTCCCCAGCTACCACACTGGCGGTACTATTCACATCATCGTGAACAACCAGATTGGTTTCACTACGGATCCTAGGTTCTCCCGTTCGACTCCTTACTGCTCTGATATCGCCAAGGCAATTGATGCGCCCGTTTTCCACGTTAACGGTGACGATGTCGAGGCCCTCAACTTCGTCTGCCAGCTGGCAGCTGACTTCCGCGCCGAGTTCAAGAAGGATGTGGTTATCGACATGGTTTGCTACCGAAAGCAGGGTCACAACGAGACTGACCAGCCCTTCTTCACCCAGCCTCTCATGTACAAGAAGATCTCAGAACAACCCCAAACACTGGACATCTACACCAAGAAGCTGCTCGACGAGAAGACCTTCACCAAGGAGGACATTGACGAGCACAAGGCTTGGGTCTGGGGTATGCTAGATGAGAGCTTCAACCGCAGCAAGGACTACGTACCAAACTCCAAGGAATGGCTGACTTCGGCCTGGAACGGCTTCAAGTCGCCCAAGGAGCTTGCGGAAGAGGTCCTGCCCCATCTGCCAACCGCCATCGAGGAGACTCAACTGAAGCACATTGCTGAGAAGATCGGCGGCGCGCCGGAGGACTTCAATGTACACAAGAACTTGAAGCGTATCTTGGCTGGCCGCACCAAGACTGTCATGGACGGCAAGAACATCGACATGGCTACCGCGGAAGCCTTGGCATTCGGAAGTCTGTGCATGGAAGGCCACCACGTCCGTGTCTCCGGACAGGATGTCGAGCGTGGAACCTTCTCTCAGCGCCATGCCGTGCTCCACGACCAGGAAACTGAGAAGACATACACACCTCTCCAGAACCTTGCCGAGGACCAAGCAACATTCACCATCTCCAACTCTTCGCTCAGCGAATACGGAGTGTAAGTTCATGCTGTTTTGATGTATTTTGCCGTAACTAATCACCTGTAGGCTTGGCTTCGAATACGGATACTCGCTATCATCACCCAACGCCCTCGTCATGTGGGAGGCTCAGTTCGGTGACTTCGCCAACACTGCCCAGGTCATCATCGATCAGTTCATTGCCTCTGGTGAAGTCAAGTGGCTTCAACGTTCCGGCCTCGTCATGAGCTTGCCCCACGGTTACGACGGTCAAGGTCCCGAGCACTCTTCTGGACGTATGGAACGCTACCTACAGCTCTGCAATGAGGATCCCCGTATCTTCCCCTCGCCCGACAAGCTCGACCGTCAGCACCAGGACTGCAACATCCAGATTGCCTACACAACGAAGCCGTCTAACCTCTTCCATCTCCTCCGTCGCCAGATGAATCGTCAGTTCCGCAAGCCTCTCATCCTCTTCTTCTCCAAGTCGCTACTCCGTCACCCACTCGCTCGCTCCAACATTGAGGAGTTCACTGGCGACTCTCACTTCCAATGGATCATCGAAGACCCCGCGCACGCTAGCGGCGAGATTGAGTCGCATGAGGGCATCAACCGTGTCATCCTCTGCACAGGTCAGGTATACGCTGCGCTTGTTAAGGAGCGTGAGGCCCGCGGTGAGAAGGACGTTGCCATCACTCGTATCGAGCAGCTCAACCCCTTCCCCTGGCAACAACTGAAGGACAACCTGGACTCGTACCCCAACGCCCAGAACATCATCTGGTGCCAGGAAGAGCCCCTGAACGCCGGTGCCTGGTCATTCACCCAGCCCAGAATCGAGACTCTGCTCAACCAAACCGAGCACCACAACAGGCGTCACGTCATGTACGCTGGCCGCAACCCTAGTGCGTCGGTGGCCACTGGACTTAAGGTGTCACACAAGAACGAAGAGAAGGCCCTATTAGATATGGCTTTCACCGTAAAGCAGGACCACTTGAAGGGCGAGTGAACGCTGGATGAGGCGTGGAAAGGGCTAGTTGGTCATTGATTGCATTACTTTATTCCCATGATATGTATGTTTACAGCGTGTAGTCTCGTGTGCTGTCGTGGAAGCTAGATGTACTTCAATGACAGTCTGAACAAAAATTCTTTACTTCATACATTATCTTGCCGTCTACATGCCTTTCTGTGATTTTGGGTCGTATGTTTAACAAGATGCTCAGCTCTTTAGGCATGTATCATTGCATCCTATATGAACTTATGCTCACTCATAACCTACTGGTTATATACAGGCTGTACCCGGAAACAACTTCTACCACAACCTCAAGTAAGCAAATGCGGATTCCCCTGATACACAAAACTCGGCTTCCTGCGCGCCTTCAGCTCAGACCTCTCTCCGTCATCCCAGCCATCCCAAACGTTCGCCTCCTGCGGGCCTTCAACCTCACGGATATAGCCCAACGCACAGTCCTCGAATTGGACCTTAGGTTGCGCTGCGTAGAAAGTATCATAGCGATGTGACAAAGCTTGCTTGAGCGATCGGACCTTCCTGCCACTACCGTGTAGCACGCCCCAGGGATCTCTGCACGCTTCGCCCTTGCATGATTTAAGTACCATCATCAATGCGTCGATACGGTCGATGATGGCGGTGAAGGGGCGGCCTGCGATACGGTAGGTGTCACGTTTCGCTATGAGGTCCGCGTCTTCGTCGTCGAAGTAGTTTTCCAGCTGACCTGGGTCGAAGCGCATGTCGTAGTACTCCTTGTCGCCCGTACAGAAGACGGAGTAGTAGATGTTGTAGTCCTCACCGATGAGGCGGAGGCCCTTGTACGTGTTGTTGCGTACAGAGTGGAGGTAGCCACCCCAGTTCTGGTCGGGCGGATGATTCTCTTTCACCGGGTTGTCGTAGTGGCCCCATATGCCTTCGGGGATGGCTCGGCCCCAGTACTCGATGTTGATGTGCTCTTGACGTTCTGCGGATTCGGCGAGAAGGGTGTCTTCTTTGGTGAGGGGCATGACCGAGCCGTCGAAGTCTTCGCGTAGAGTCTGACCGGCCAACTTCATTATTGTGGGTGCAAGATCAGTGTGGGAGCTGACGATGTCGGTGGTGTGGCCCTTCATTACACCTGGCCCGCGCACAATGAGGGGGATGTGGATATCAGTCTCGTAGCCACATTCCTTGCCGGCATGTAGGCGATGCTGACTTAGATGATAACCGTTGTCGGTGGTGTAGATGATGTATGTGTCTTCTAGAAGTCCCTTCTGCTCGAGAGTCTTGACCAGTTGCTCTACCATCTCGTCTACTGACTGAAGGGCGCGAAGGCGAGAGCGCTGGAACTCATCATTGTAGTCAATGACTGTGTCATTGAGAAGTGGAAGTCTCTTGACCCATCCTGTGCCACCCTGCTTCTCGGGATTGAAGTTGGCATCGCGTGGGATCTTGTACTCGGTAAAGAGATGAGCATGTCGCTCTGCGTATTGAGGCAAATCCGCACTATACTCTTCGGCAGGCACGAGCTTCACGTTGCTATGGGGCGCGATAGGTGCAATGGTGAGGAACCAAGGCTCAGGGTGTTGCGTTGCCTCCTCGAGAAAGCCATACGCCTTCTCTGCAGTCACATCAGGCGAGTATTGACCCTTGTAGCTTATGGGTGGTCCGCCGTTGCGACTCATGTGTGCGTTGTAGTATTCGTACGTATAGGGATCGAGGATGAAGTCGGAACCGTTGTATCCGCCGGCGTAGGGTGCGTTGTAATTGTCAACAGAGTGGTGGTTCCACAGCTTGCCTGAGTAGTACGTGTTGTAGCCAGCATTCTGCATCCATACTGGGAGGTAGTCATCGTTGATGCCTTCGCGAACGACCTTTGGGTAGCCACCTGAAACGTGTTAACGAGGCTGGTAGTAACACGCGGCGATGACTACGAACCGTAGGGTGCAAAGACGTCAGTCACATTCGTGTTGTGAGCAGCTCTTCCGGTCCAGAGGTTTACGCGAGAAGGGCAACATAACGCAACCGTACAGAAGTGGTTCGCATACAGTGTACCTTCATGGAGTAGATACTTTTGCAGGAATGGCATGTGTTCCTGTTCTTTGTGAGCTATTGTTACTCGAGACAGCCAGAGATGCACAAACCAATGACTTCATGTGCCAATCTTGATCATCTGTCAAGATGAAGAGAATGTTCGGTTGCTTCGCTGCTGCGCAGTACAGTGCCGACGAAAGCACTGCATAATGGAATAGCTTGAAGAACTTCATGGTGACAAGCCGTTGTCGAAGCTGACAACTGGACCGGGAGAAATGTGCCCTTATAAGGCATCATACGGTTGAACGCGCTCTCCCCGCGTCCAAACAGAGCCATGTTCAGGGTCGATGTTACCGCGTCGATACTGGGCTTCAAGACGAGGCCGGCGCCGTGACGCGTGAGTGCAGGAAGCGAGTGGAGTTCATGGGTCGATGCATTGTCACGTAGTGCGACGCTAAACCTCGAGCACGAGCCTCACCCCACACCTGGCACCAGCCATCGCGGGAAATGTCTCCCTCGTGCTATCGTCTCCGCATTGCGTGCCCGGCTACGACGCAGCAAGCCGCAAACGCCAATCCTTTCGCGGCGATTCCTAGTAAGTCGCCGAAAATGCCGGCGCGCTCCTCTCATGGCTTCTCATGTGGAAAGTTCGTCACCGACGAGACACACAGCCATGGACAGGACAGTGGCAAATATGAGTACCGAACAATTGTACCGAAAGAGGACATTCGACAGACTTAACCAAAGAGCTGCGAGAGCGCGGAAGAAGTCGCGTATAGCAGAGCTAGAAGAAGAGGTCGCTGATCTGAAGCGGCGCCTTACGCGCTCGGAAGGCCTCGTCAAACAGCTGCAGAACAATGAAACATGCCTTCGAGAGATCATCAATTCGGCGCGAGTGTCCCTTCAGATGGTCGATCACCACACAGTCTCACCATTTGATAGAGATGCGTCCTCACCATCGACTGGAGCAGTCCCAGACCCATCCTTTGCTGAGGCCGGGCTCGACTTGTCGCAAACCTCAAGATCTCCCCCGACTAGTATTGGGGCCAATACGACGTTGAACTTCGCATCGCATTCACTATCTGCTGGCCTGAGCGATGGCTCAGCGACTATCGATGCTTCAGCTTACGGCGCAACGTCCACCGAGGGCGTGCTTTTGAGAGATGCAGATACTGGGCTGAGCCTAGAGCTGCCTATCAGTGCGGACGAGTCTCTTTTCAATATGTGGGATGGCACTTCGAGTAAGTCTCGCTATCGTGGACTGATCGGATATCAGCTAAATCCTTAGTCCTGGAACCAGACGCGAACAATACATACTCATTGTCACTATTTGGCGCGAATGCAGCCCAGGACGGTGTCGGCATCCCAAGGGATTGGCCTTTCGCACCAGAGCTCCCGTTGTTAGACATGGCTGGCACAGCTTCACAGCCTCCGCCGTGGGAGCGACTGCCACTTCATGCATCCGCCACCTGTCGGCTCGATTCTGTATTGCTCGAGATCATCGTTACCAGCCGTCAGCACGTGCAATCTTCTGGGCAGCTTCCAGAAAAGTCTTTCCCTAGCGTTCGGTCATTGCTCAACCCTGCTACCCGCAATTCGCAGAATCCGATTTCGGATGCTCTAGGTCAGCACGGTAAGATAAGTATGGCAGTCAAAGGCTCAGCCGAAAGGGTTGCGTGTTTGTATTATATGAGCCTGTTGCTCCGCTGGCTCATATCCCCCACAAAGCGCAATTACGAAGCCATGCCAGACTTCTTGAGGCCCGTAGAAGCCCAGCTAACAATACCCCATCCGATTTGGGTTGATACGATAGTTTGGTAAGCTTACGGTCAAAGGTTGAGTGTCACTACTGACGATATAGTTGAAGGCCTGAAGCACGGAAGCGCATACTCCAGTATATGGACTTGTCTGAGGGGCGGGAGTTCTCCAAGCTACGGGAGATCACGGGCAATTCGCTGTTAATCCATTGGCCTCACGACATATCTAGTATTCTCATCGTCGCATCGAACAGTGAGCTGCAGCTCAATCCCGACTTCGAAAGTCACGTCCGGCAGCTGAAGAACTGGACAGTCGGGCCCGACATGGTGGAAACATTCCCATACTTGGACTGCATTCCGGCGACGCTTTGATCACGCATGCGTCGAATGACTTGGTCAGCGCCGCAGCTGATGCAAGACTTCATTGTACTATACGGTGTTTGTTGATCGTTGTAGCAATTCGGGCTATATGTTTCGGCTACACCATTCAACTACAGGCTGCGCATGGGTGACGTCAAACACCTTGCGCCATCCAAGTTATTGACTCTCACGCGTAGAGAAGGGGTGTCAAGATACGTTGTCTACTCGGCCGAGTTTGCTTTCAACAGGTTCCTCTCCTTCGTGACAAGTGCGATGGAAAATGCGATGACGGAGGCGACTAGCCCAAGCACTGTCGCAAGTTAGCAAAGTCAGGCCTCGAATGTTCTTGACTTACCGAATACTTGCTGCGTGGCGTATATATATGCCGGCATCAGCAGCTCGCGAAGACCGTCGCCCACATGCTGAATGTAGGCGATATCCGAGGTAGCCTTCTCGACTATCTCGGATGCGTCATTCCTCCCCTCCAGGGCATGATTCAGGCCCATCTGCAAAACGATTTGAAAGACTGCAGCAGCCCCGCTGACGCCCGTAACGCCCCCCACGTTCCCACTCAGGTACAAGCCAGAGCCAGCAATGGCTACCTCGTCCTCCGCCACTGCGGATGTCAATCCAACGAAGACGGCCGAATGAGCCATGCCTGTTGCAAAGCCGGCGGGGAATATCAGGAGGGATCCCAAGACTGTGGTATGCCCACGCCAGAATAAGAGTAAGAGAACGAAAGACAACGCTGAGCTGGCACTCGCGAGTATGGTAGGAGCTTTGTAACTTCCGGTCCTGGTTTGTGTTAGCCCGCCATCCCAGATACATGGACGAAGGACCGTACCGCTTGATCCATGCCCCCGTCAGGAGGCCACCGACTGTATTTCCAACCACAGAGGGTATGAGGTAGGCGCCGGCTTCGCCAGTCGATGCATTGTTGGTGACCTGGAAGTAGATGGGGATGATGAACATTAGCTTGCCACTGAGTTAGCCTATCATCTTTCAGCCACAATTGCTGGGTCTTACTGCGGTCTGAGAAAAGTTCTGCAGGAGAAGGATTCCATAAGAAGTGCCAACAACGTAGCGGGTGAGTAGTTGGACAGGAAAGATTGGCTCTTTCGCGAAGTACCGTTCGTATACGACAAACGTTCCAGCGCCGATAACAGCAGCGCAAGCGGATGTGACGATGACGGGGTGGTTCCAATCGTATTTCTGGCCGCCAGTGTCCAGGACGAGCAGCGCAGTGAAGATTGTTATACTCATGCACACCGCTCCGACGAAGTCGATACGTCGTAACTTGTCGCGAGTGGATTCGCAGTGCCCAGGTTTGAAAGTCTTCTGCGGAACGTCCAACTTCCACTGGACTAAGACAATCGAAAGAATGACTGGAGGAACTTGTGCCAGGAAGGCCCTGCGGCATCCATCAGTAACTTGTGTACGTAACGAAGGGACTGTCATATTAGAACTTACCAGCGCCAGCCAATCGTGGAAGCAAGAAGCCCCCCAATCACGCCGCCACAGCTTCTTCCTACTGTCTGCACCACATTGACATAGCTTCGGTATAGCGCGACTTCGTGGAAGGGCAACAGATCAGTCAACAATATTGACACCATGCACACCATACCAGCGCCCCCAGCACCCTGAATTGTACGAGCAGCGATGATCTGAGCCATTGACCGGCCCAGTCCTGAACCGAGCGTTCCGATCGCGAAGAGGACGTAGGCCACCTGCAAACACGACTTTCGCCCAAAGATGTCGCTCAACTTTCCGAAGAGTGGTTGCGATATACACATGGCTAGCATGTAGCTTGAAAGGAGCCAGGAGCCGCTTTCGAGGTCGTGGAATTCTGACGAGATCTTGCCGTAGGTGGCTAACACCAGCGATGTGTCTGCTTGGGAGATGAAGACACCTGCTACGATTAGCGGAGAGCTATGCTGACAGGATAAAGACCCCCACCGATCAACAAGATGGAAATGGTTGTCACCAGCGAACGTTTCGGCGTTGAGTGGTCTTTCGCGGACCCATCTCCTCGCTCAGGATCCTGCGAAGCGCCATTTACTGCCTACAAAACTTTAGCTGACAAAAGAGATCATTTTCGGAGTCGAAAGCTCACCTCGTATGTTGATGTCAGTTCAGGAAACAAGGGAGTCGCTTCGTCCACTTCTTGAACAGTCGTCTGTGCATCCCATCCTGGTTTGATGGGACTCCGCTGACGATTTACCATATTGTGTGAAATTTGGAGACGTGAGACTTCGAAGACGACGTAAGGTCTCGATCAATTTCAGGGGGACTCTGGGCTGTCTTGAACTCAGGATAGACTTGACTGCCCAGATACATCTCCACTTCAACGGTGCACGCTCTGATCGACATGAACTCTGCAATGCAGTGTCATGCAAGTCGATTACGCGGAGTTGCGGCACGACTGACATCGTTTGAACAACAATATCCGTATTCGTTTCATCCAATCGAAAGTATACGGTCGCATATCGGCTTCCGCGAAATCGCTATAACCGCAAACGACATGGTGCCGCTAGCATGACCTTGCATTAGCGCCCGCTTTCGTACGCTACCACACTGACATTGCATATCGCATCATGAACGGCGAGACTCACCACCGAACTACGTGGCGGCGTGAGAACTACCATTCGCGCGGCGATACCCCGCAATGCTTGTCTATGTACCCTGATCACAGTCACGTAGCAGAGTCGTGTTCTCGAATCATCAGACTCTACGAATCTCATGGCGTGTGCTGAGCTGAAAACGGTGGCTTCGGAGAAATGTATCCACTCCCGTAATTCTCAACACAGATCGCGACATTGACAGCCACAACATTGGGAAGGATGGGACTGTGTGATTCGCGTATGAATCAAGTCTTATCCCACACCATAAGTATTGCTATCAATGCTGTATCCACTTCCGACATATGTCCGGTTCAACAACAACTGGGGCAACAACAGCTATCAGAATGGCCGCAAACGATAAGTCAACTCCCGATATCTCTACGATTGAGGACATTTCGAGCATACCTCTCAAAGACATGGAGGACAAAGACAAGATTCAGACTGACGCCGATGGCTTCGCTGGCGATGTGGAGAATCTGCCCAAGGGCTACTATCTCAGTTCCTTCTTCCTCGGTACATGCTGCGCCGTGGGCTTTGGGGCTTGGGCTGGCAATGCTGGTAAATCCGCTATTTGGTAAATCACATGAGAGGATGTCTAACCAACACAATGCAGGTTTTGCCTATGCTGCACCTATCCTGGGGACCATCAATGCGGACATTGGACCAGACCCCAATATCCAATGGGTCGCACTTGTGCATCCAGTTGGACTGTCCGTAGGTATGGTACGTACAACGACGAATCCTGACTTCCACTCGTTCATCACTGACTTCGACCAGACCATCATAGGAAGACTAAGCGACATCTTCGGTCGTCGTTATTTCTTCATCGTGGGCGCATTCCTCGCCATGATTGGCACGCTCATCAGTGCTCTCGCCATTAACGTCAACATGTTGATAGTTGGATCCATGATCAAGGCACTCGCAGCTGCGACGCAACTATCCTGCTACTACACCATCGGCGAACTCATTCCGTCCAAGTACCGATACCTCATGATTGGCGCAATCAACGTCTGGAATCTACCTGGTCAAGGTTTTGCTCCCGTCGTGGCGCAGAGCCTTGTTGCAACTCGCGTTGGCTGGCGAGCTGTATACTTCCTACTCACTGCCGTCAACGGAGCGTCTTTGATCTGCTACTGCGTCTTTTACCATCCGCCGAACTTCCATCAGAAGCACGGTCAGAGGGAGAAGAAGATGGACTTCGTTAAGAAGTTCGACTACGTTGGCACGTTGCTCTATGCCGCTGGTCTTACTATGTTCTTGCTTGGTCTTTCGTGGGGCGGCACCAAGTATAGCTGGACGTCAGCTGAAGTGCTATCTTTCATTCTGATCGGTTTCGGCTGTCTTGTTGCTTTTGTATGCTGGGAACTGTTCATGGATCTGAAGGAGCCCTTGGTCCCCATGAGCCTCTTCCGCCACCGGCCGTGGGTCGTTTCGGCAATACTCACGGGTATTGGGGCTGGAGTCTACTACGCTGGCGCGAGTAAGTGTACCCTCATCAATCATGCTAGGATAGCAGCTAATCGCCCGCAGTCATCTGGCCCCAGATCACACAGAACTTCTACGCCAACGGCGACCTTATGCATGCCGCGTTCCTTTCCTCGTTAGCCAATTTAGGTATCCTGATAGGCGGTTTCGTTGGAGGATGTCTAGCTGGACCGATCGGTTATCAGAATTGGCAGATCACCGTGGCTATGGCTATAGGTGGAGGGCTTCTTGCGTGTAAGTTTTACTCTGTTCCGGTACCTACCCTCTTAACACGTACTAACTGAGGCAACAGCTGTGTCAACGGCAAATCCAAGCAACCAAGCCCAATCTTCTGCGTTAATCTTCTTTTCCGCCATGATGATGGGCTACGTCGCGGACATCGCCCTCGGAAACGCCATTCTCACGATAACTGATCAACGAGAGATTGGCGCTGCTGGCGGTGCTGCTGCATCAGTACGCACCGCTGTCGCGGGTACATGTCAAGCAGTCTACAACGTCGTCCTGGCGAACAGGCGCTCGACGACGGTACCTGCTGCAGTATTACCCGCCGTGCTGGGCGCTGGCTTGCCTAAAGATAGCACTGCTTCGATCCTCTCAGCCTTGTCGTTGGGAACGCCTGCGGCATGGTCCGCGGTAAAAGGACTAACCCCTGAGATTAGAGCAGTTGCGGTATCGGCATATCATTCGGGCCTGTCACAAGCTTTCAAGACGGTTTATCTGGTGTCTTTAGCTTTTACTGGACTGGGCATATTGTTGTCGCTGCTTGCGCCGAACACGAGTAAATTGTTGACTGAGAAAGTCGCGGTTTCTCTCCAGACGCGGAAACCCAGAGAGGAAAACGCAGCATAGCGCAATTAAACCACGAATAGTCTTCAGAAGCACGGGAGTATATAGCACGAGCGTGATGGTGATGTCTCCCCGTCCGCGGTCCGGAAGAAGTCGGGCAAACGTCAGCGCTTCAGTCGCGCCCCGCCAACCCCTCGTGCCCCTCCACTTTTCCGTCTCCGCACCTGCATCATAGCCTGCCACCCACGCGCTCCCGCAACAAAGCGCGTCAATTCCCGCAACACTCTTGATGCCGTCCTCAGCTCGCGGGCCAGAACCATGTCGAGCAATCTTCTCGGGAATTTTTCCACGAAATTCGGGCTTGTTCCGGAGAAACTGGCGCAGTGACACGCGCTGACCGCCGCCCCGGCTGGAGCATCGTGAGCTGCCAGTGACGTCCGGCCAGTTGCCGAGGGCTATAGCTTCCCAGCGGCCTGCCAAACAAATGCCACAGAAGTGTGGTCCGCCTGCCCGACTCTACCCACCCTGACTTCATAACGATAGCTAGCTCCGCTTTTCGCTGAACTTTGAGCTTGATAGCTTTTTCACCATCCCTCTCTCCAAATTTCCCCATTCCCCATACTGCTTTCCCATCTTCCCTTCCACCGCTGATACCAAGTCGTCTTGTCGCTTCGTTCGTCCCTACTGATACACCTTGTAAATTGAACTCTACCAAAAGTTTACACCATGGCTTCCAACGGTAACGAGGGAGGCCCAGTTGCGCAGGAGAAGATCAACACCGACATCATCACTCTCACGCGATTCCTCACTGAAGAGCAGACCAAGTACGCGGAGGCAACAGGAGACTTCACGTAAGTGCCAAAATCAGAGCATTCAGAGCAGAGAACTTACCATTCCCACCAGACTACTATGCCACGCACTGCAATTCGCCTTCAAGAGCATTGCCTACTACATCCGGAGAGCAACACTCATCAACGTATGCAACTTATCAAAAGTCAGACGAAACCTCAACTAACACCCCCAGCTCACCGGCCTCCAAGGCACATCCAACACAACCGGCGACGACCAAAAGAAACTCGACGTAATCGGCGATGAGCTCTTCATCTCCGCCATGCGCTCCTCAGGCCGCGTGCGCCTCCTCATCTCCGAAGAGCAAGAAGAAGCCATCGTCTTCAACGAGCACCCCAACGCGCGCTACGCCGTAGCCTGCGACCCCATCGATGGATCCTCCAACCTCGACGCCGGAGTCGCCGTCGGCACCATCTTCGCCGTGTACAAACTGCCCGAGGGCGCCAAAGGCACAAAAGAAGAGATGCTTCTACCCGGTACCGAGATGGTGGCCTCGGGCTTCACCATGTACGGCGCGTCCGCGCAGCTGGTGCTTACAATGAAGGGCGGAAACGTCAATGGCTTTACGCTCGACAACGCGTTTGGCGAGTTCATCCTCACACATCCCGATATGCGCGTACCCAAGACGAGGAGCATTTACTCGGTCAACGAGGGTAACAGCATGTACTGGGAAGAGCCTGTTAAGCAGTGGTGTGAGAGCTTGAAAAACCCCGCTGAGGGACAGAAGCCGTACAGTGCGAGGTACATTGGTTCCATGGTGGCGGATGCGTATCGCACGCTGCTTTATGGTGGTATCTTCGCGTACCCAGCGGATAAGAAGACGCCAAAGGGCAAATTGAGGATTCTTTATGAGTGTGCGCCTATGGCTATGGTTTTTGAGAATGGTATGTTCACCCCTTTCTTCCTATTCCAATGCATTCCTGCTAACTTTCTCGCTTGTAGCTGGCGGTTTGGCGGTAAACAGCAAGATGGACCGTATGCTTGAAGTCGTCCCCGAACACATCCACGACCGATCGGGAATCTTCCTTGGCTCCGAAGGTGAGGTCCAAAAGGTTATCGATGCGCACAAGAACTACAAGAAATAGGCGTCTGTGGATAGCTTGGAACGTGGGATGGCGTATAATTGGGCTATCGCGGGCATATAAGCAGATACCTTGCTGGTCAAGACTCGAGTTTACGACATCGACGCAGTATTATTGAATGACGATACCAATCTCGACATTTCTTCATTCTCGTTCTGTCATGCGCGTGTAATGATGACGGTGTCTGACCTTGAGATCGTGATGGTATGGTTGTATGCATGGTTACAGACTTTAGGGACACCAGCATCCAAGCAGACATATTGGGAGTCGTCACATCAAGAGCCAGTCATGAATATTGTAAGATCTATTAGGAGTATCGACTACATGCCTAAGATCTTATCTGCTCATCTCTCCCCAGCAAAGCTATCCAGTACGGACTAGATGCTTCGAACCCGTAATCCTATCCACATCTACCATGAATTATCGAGACGCCGAAAACCCGAAAATTGAGAGCCAGCTTGGTATCGTAAAGCTGCTCGTGAGGTATCATACTGTTTGCGCAAAGAAAATCCATCCACACATACCCATATCATGAACGTTTCGAAGACGGGGCGCCGTCTATGATAGCATGCACAAAGCGGGGAACAAAGAAAAAACATGAGGGGAAAACCAAACTCTGGAGGTGCGAGTTTGGGTGCTGTAGGTGTCCGACGTTCCAGTGAAGGAGTCAGTCACCGGGGAAAGAGGTATCGTAGTAGGTAACTGAGAAGAGGACATCGAATCGTGAAAACTTTTTGGGTGCATGGGTCATGAAAGCCGTCCCGTGTCGTGAATGAAAACCGTTACCCGTGCGCCGTTCGCCGTTCAGAAAGATCATGCGACCATCGTAACTTGTTGCCGTTCGAGAGAATCGCGAACCGAATCCTACTCAGTGGCAACTAGAAAGAGATCTAAGCATCTTCCTTGGTCTCCTCCTTGGGGGCTTCCTTCTCAGGCTCACCCTCTTTGTTCTTGACGTATTCGTCGTAAACGCTCATGGCCTCGTCGACCTTGGCGCGGAGAGCAGACTCATCAGAAGTGCTAGGATAGTCAGTACGGAAAATAGTGCTACGGAAAGTGGGAAACTTACAGGGTGATCAACTCGCTGTTGTCCATCTCGAGGAGCATACCGGTGATCTTGCCGGCGAGCTCGGGCTGCATCTCAGCGATCTTGGGGTAGAGAGCCTCACCGAGCATCTGCTTCTGCTGACCAGGAGGAGCGCCGCTCAGAGCACCCATGTCGACGCCAGCACCGGCGGGACCGCCACGGCCGCCCTGGGGGTAACCGGGCATGGGGGACTGACCGGATCGGCCGCCCTGGGGCATGCCGCCGCGACCACCCTGAGGAGGGAAGGCACCCTGACCACCGCGCATGCCGGGAACACCAGCCATCGGGACCTGAGGCATACCAGGCATAGGAGCCATGGGGCCGCCACGACCGCCGCGTCCGCCCATAGCCTGCTGAGCAGCCTGAGCAAGCTGCATGTATTGCTGGTTCATGTACGCAGGAGGGAAGGCACCGGGAGCCATGCCGGGGGGCATGTACATGGGAGGCATCTGCTGGCCGTTGGGACCACCACGACCGCCTTGCTGACCGGGCATGCCGCCAGGGAAACCAGCGCCACGACCACCTTGCTGGCCGGGCATACCGGCGGGGAAGGGCATCTGACCACGGCCACCAGCGGGGAACATCATAGGCTGCTGGCCAGGTGCGATGAACATCTGAGGGATACCACCGAACTGCTGCTGCTGTTGTTGCTGCATGCGGAGCTGGTTGCGGGCCTGGATGGTGGCCTCGAGCTGGTTCTTGCGGACATCCTTGCGCTGGGCAAGAGCGACGTAGAGAGGCTTGCCCTCAATCATCTTCTGGTTCATCTCGGTGACAGCCTTGGTGGCCTCGTCGGGGTTGCTGAAGCAGACGAAACCGAAGCCCTTGCTCTTACCAAGGATCTTCTTCTCACCCTTGATGGTGACCTTCTCGCCGCTGGCGTTCTCGTCCTTCTTCTCGTCAGAAGAGTCAGCCTTGGACTCATCCTTGGACTCCTCAGTCTTCTCAGCCTCCTTGGGCTCCTCCTTGGCCTCGTCCTTCTTCTCGTCGGATGGGCTCTCGGCGCGCTCAGCGGGCATGGCATCGCGCATGACCTTGGCGGAGGTGATGGTACCGAAAGGAGTGAACATGTCGCGCAGCTTCTCGTCGTCAACGTCGTCGTTGAGGTTCTTGATGTAGAGGTTGACACCCTGGTACTTGGACTGCTTCTCGAGACGAGCGGCCTCGTACTGCTTGCGGAGCTCCTCCTCGCGCTCGTGCTTCTTCTGGGCACGGCCGACGTAGAGCTTCTGGCCACGGAAGTCAACGTCGTTGAGCTTCTCGACGGCGTCAGAGGCGGCCTCGTGCTTGATGTAGTTGACGAAGCCGAACCCGCGGCTCTTGCCCTGGTCATCGCGCGCGATGGATGCAGAGGTGATGTCACCGTGCTTCTCGAAGAGCTCACGGAAGTCCTCGTCAGAGACATCGAGGTCGATGTTCTTGACGTAGATGTTGGTGAAGTTGGCCTTCATCTCCTCGAACTTGCTCATGCGCTCCTTCTTGGGGATGTGGTGGCCGACGAAGACCTTCTTCTCGTTGAGCAACATGCCGTTGACGTGCTTGATAGCGTTGTTGGCAGCCTCGGCGGTCTCGTAGTGGACGAATCCGTAGCCCTTGGAGTTGCCGAGCTCGTCCTGAGCGACCTTGCAGCTGAGGATGTTACCGAAGGCGGCGAAGGTGTCGTGGAGAGCCTTGTTGTCGATGGCATGGTCGAGGTTCTTGATGAAGACGTTGCCCTGGCCGGTCTTGCGCAGAGCGGGGTCACGCTGGGACCACATGATGCGGCAAGGCTTGCCCTTGATGACGGTGTAGTTCAGCTCTTCGAGGGCCTTCTCGCCATCCTCAGAGCTGTTGTAGTTAACATAGGCGTAACCGAGCGAGCGACGGGTAACGGCGTCACGGCAGACACGGATAGACGCGACCTGGCCAATCGACGAGAACAGCTCGAAGAGCATGGCCTCGGTGACGGAGGGGTCGAGCTCGCCAACATAGAGCGACGCCGAGTTCTGGTTGTTCGCGGGGGCAGCGGTGGTGGGGGTGGGGGCTTCGCCCTGGGCGGCAGCGACGTTGGTGTCGACCTGAGCGCCGTTGGCGGCAGCACCGTCCTGGACGGGCGAGGTAGAGTTGGCGACGTCAGACATGATGTATATCTGCGGGGTCGCAGGTTAGCGGAGGGGTCCTAATATTGCGGGCACGAGCAGCGTCGACATGTGCCAGTGCGCTCGCTTCGCAAAAAGTTTCAGCACTCACCTAAGTTGCAACAGCAGATGTGCGGGGTAACAGAGTCGGCGTATGGGACCGGGAGCGCGGGCTGTGCGGGCGCGCTGGTTGCTTCTTCGTGCGAAAAAGGTGAGACCAAGTAAGACGTCTGTCGGGTGCAAGCGACAGTGGGAGACGAAGGGTTGGCGGTGGTCGTCGGACGGGCTTTTCTTGTTGTTTTCTGTATTTTTTTGTTTCTTTTTCTGTTATGAACGGTCCACTGGGAACCGAGGGCTTGGAGAGCTGTGGGTGTAGTTGGGGGTGGTTAAGCGTTTGGGGGGGAGGGACACGACGAGGTTGCCAGTCTTTATGCGCAGGTGTGTGATTTTTTGGGTGGTCCGGGCGCCGCGCTAGCTTCTTATAGACGGCGCAACCAGGGCGGTGAATGAAGGAGCCCTAGGCAGGCAGACAATGGCGATGGGTGAGCAAATAGGAACGCAGGCGGCTGACAAGACCAGGGGCAGTGGCTTCACTACAGTGTTCTTGTTTGTGAAAGAGCAGACAAGCGTAACAGCCGCCGCGATACTGGACCCTGACCTTGTGCGTATCACATGTCAGATACGCGAGTAGGCGTAGGAGGGGTGGAACAGAAGAGTTTCTGCAGTCGCGATCATGCATTGTTGCAAGTTCTGTGCAGGAATGTACCAATTTGATCAATACTCGAGAAACAGAACAAAGCAAGGTCAGCAAGTGCACATCGAAGCCAGGTTTGGCGCCGCTGACCAGCTATCCTAGGGTAAGGTGCATCTCTGTAAGACGACGCACGACATACATGCACAAGCACTGCAAGCTAGATGACCGTCTTCGGAGACAAGCGCAATCATGCCTCCAAGGCGTATCCATGTCAAGTACGACAACCTACGAGATGGTATTTTGGGTAGATATTCAAACGGGTATCGATACGGTGCGAAAATGCTAAAAATGCCGACCACGTCATCGTCATCAACAAATACTTGAACTACTCCTTGAGAGTATCATCCCACCCTCCTTGCTCGGTCAGGTGGTCTTCTACGCGTGCTTTGCAGTCTTCGAGACCCTGTCCAAGTGCCTCGTTCCACTGGCTTTCGACGAGACCAACCTTTTCTTTGAGGTCGTCCGTCAGTCGCCGCTCCTCGTCTGCCCTGATGGCTTTCATCTCTTGATTCACACCCGTAAGATCCTCGCCTTCCAAGAGTCGTTGTGTCTCGAGAAGTCGGGAGCCCGCGGTCATGACTCCAGTCTTGACCTCGTGCAGTAGGCAGAGCAGGTTGATCTGCGACTCGATGAATTGGTACGCCGAGCGACCGGCGTGTGCCAACAAAGTGTAGAGATACTGCAGAGGGTAGTCGTGGTATGCTGGTGTTTCTGCATACTCTTGCGGTGGGACCAGAACTCCGAAGCCATGCAAGTTGCGGGGTACCTGCTGCACGATTTCTAGTAGTCCAGGCGCAATGTCCCAGAAAGCTGACAGCTGCGCTTCGACACCCCGAGTCACGTTCTGCTCGATGACGTTCATCAGATCTTCGTAGCGCTTCAATGTCTCCTTCTCGAAGGTGACTTTGCGATCCTGGCCATCGCGCTGGAAGAAGGTCGTAGCTTCCTTGACCTTCTGCTCGTTCTTGGTCTGGACGTACGGCAGGACAATAATGTCTCTGTAAAGATCGTTGCGCTCGTCTTCCAGGTCGAACATCTCCTTGTGTAGCTGCTCCCGGGCCTCAAAGAGCCATTTGTGCAGGGTAAGCATCTCCAAGAGCTCTGGTTTCTCGTCACCCTCTTCCTGCATCTGGTTCGGATTGGGCTCCTGCGCCTCGCTGCTCAAACGCCCTTTGAGATGCTCCATCGATGCCGTGGCCTTGGTGATGCGCTCGCAGAACATGGCGTGCAGTGGATTGGCGACTTCAGCCTGAAAGCTGTCGAACACCCACTGAACTACGTCCTGAGCTCTTTGATGCTCTCGTGCTTCAAAGTCTGCTTCTGCTTTCGCCGCCTCCGCAAACGACATGACTCCATTCCGGACATTGTCCTGGATGTTGTATCGCAGTTGGGCTCTTCTGTCAGACAGCGATGCATTTTCTTGCTCTTTTCGTGCTTCAATCTTCGTCTTGAACTTCGCCTTCGTACTCTTTACGTCGTCGAGCTCAGATAGAGTCCGGAGACTAGTCCGGATAGTTGCCAAATCGGGATGGCTATTGTTGACTGCGGGGTGATGACGTGGGTACGATGGCGGGAGAGTGACTAGTCGCGATACATCCAGCTTATGTGGGTCGGGCGTTGCCGTCGCAGACCTGGGATAGTAACCGTAAGGCTGCTGCTGCGATGGCTGTAGACTGTCTTCGTGCAGTCCGACCTTCTCGGGTGGGTATTCATTGGCTCCATAAGCTGGTCGACTGCTGGATTCGCCTCGTTGCCTTGGAGTAGACAGATCTTCACCCGCCCACTGTTGGTTCTCGCGAGCCTCCTTCGGTAACAAGCTCATGTACTTGGATTCCCGTTTACTCCGCTCCACCCTTCTGCCACCCCCAACACCAGATGAGCCGCCATCGCTCTCCCACCAGCGACTTGCTGAGCGTCCCCGCGAATCTTGCTCATCAGGAATGGTACTCATAGCCATACTCGGGATGGGCGAGAGCGAGGGGTGGTAGTTATTCGCCCACGAAGCATCGCGAGCTTTCTGGCTAGATGCGCTCGAAGGAGAGGCTGGTTCGGTATGCGGAGTGAAGTTGCCAATGGAGGATGCTGGGCTGGCAGCGGTCGTTGGCATCGAGGAGAAGCGTGTATCCGGGGATTCACCGGCTACAGAACCTTGAGATCTCCTGCTACTATGACCTACAGGCGTGGCCTGAGTGTTAGGTGTAGCTGATCTGCGTCCAGAATTGCCGTACGAGCGCCATAAGTCTCTTGTCAGATCCATAATGTCTCCGGCCATTGCGTCGAAAGCTCCGGAGTACCGATCACGGCGGAGTCGCGACTCAGTGACAATGAACTCGGCAAACAACTCCAGCCTGTCTTGGTCCGTTTCCGCAGCCATCTCTTTTTCAATGAACTGTCGATGTCGCTCCATAGAGGCAGTCGCAAAAGCGTGGACGTTTGCTGGCTTCGGGGTGCTCAGCGTTGAGCTTTGTACAACCATTTTCGACGTGTTGGGTGTTTGCGTAGCCGATTCGTTTGCAGCTTCTGAGTGTCGCGTCAGATCCGCTTCTCCATCATCACCATAGATACGCAACGGTGGAGTGGGTAGCGCTTTCGAGGGAATGGAGACGGGTGCTTTTTGTGCTGAACGACTGAGATGTTCCATACCTGGCGAGAAAGGTGGCGTTGCGACGGACAAAGATGCCGCCTTTCCGTTCACGTCCATCCGAGGCGTGGAATGGGACGACCCAGGGTCTTCAAAGAGGTGTCCGCTCCTGGGCGATCGTAGGGCGCCACCACTCCTCGGTGTACCTTTGGTGATGGCACCACGACGGGTCAAGCCTCCTTCAGGCGTTCCCAAGTCGAGATTGGCAGGCTTTGCTGACTCTGCTTCCAAATCTTGCGCCCAAGGGTTGTTGCTGGGCTCGATCCGTAGCTCTCGAGCAGCACGACTCTCGCTCCTTCGCTCACGGATGCCTCTGGTACTCGTCTCCCGTTTGTTTGCGCGGTAGAGAGTGCTGCCGGAACCCGATGTGATCGTTGTTGGCCCTGAAGATATCGAAACGCTTCCGCTTTCTGACGTTGGCGCAGGATCTGACAAATGAACAGCGCGAGGACTTGTATCGATGTGTAGACCGTGTGCTGCTGGAGACCTCGATCGCACGTTCGCCTGCTCGTCCTGCCAGCCCTGAGGTGTAGGTGGGATCGGCGTTAGTGTTGTTTGCCCCGGTCTCCTTGTTGGAGGCGCGGAGGGTAACGTAGGTGCTCGATTTGCTGGCGGTTCTGTTCCGGGGCCCATACTTTGCGATCTTGAGCTGCTGGGCGGCGGGCCCGGCGGAGGCGGGGGTAATGGGGCATTTCGACTCCAGCTCCCTCCTGGTGGGACTATGGGCGACTCGTCAATAGGTGTCCGGGTCTCGTAACCTGGCACACCAGCAGACGCAGCTCTGCGAGAGGTTGGTGCCCGGATAGGCGACTGTGTGTCGGGGCTGTACCGCCGTTCTAACGTGTTCGCAATGTAACTGTACCGAAGTCAGTATCGAGTCGTGCTACAGTGTACACTGACATACTTGGAAGTCGCCCTCTGTGCGACCAGCCCAGGAGAAGCTGGTGCCCGCTGGATCGCATCGGAAGTGCTGATATGGAGCGAGTCGATGTTGCTCGGGGCAGGACTATGGTCATTGTTCCGATTCCTAAACGACGACAGACTAAACTTGGAAGCCAACTTGTCGCGCGATGCTGACCGTCCGGGCCCGTTTCTGGGCGGTGGAGGAGGGAATAGCGGATTTGATGTTATGCTCGTCGCGCTAGAGGGTATGACCATAGATCCGGGTCGGCTATGGTACCCAGATATTGGTCGCGCCGAGGAAGGGGTGCTACTCGGCGGTGGGGGAGGTGGGGGATGAGGAAACGCGCCGGCCGACATCTGAGGCGACGAGGTATTGCTATGGCTGCTCAGGGACTGTGATACGTTCGGATTCTGGCCGGGGGAGTACGGAGGCGGTGGGGAGGGCATCGACGCTGTTGCCATTAGCATCACATCTCATTATGCGCGGGAGATTTCCACGAAGGGTTTGCGCAATTGATACAAGGCTTCGACACACAGGCATTCATGCTTTGCGAAGACGAAAAGAAAGTCTATCCAATCTACTACGTATGATATGAGAGGAGGAGGAAGTAGGAAGTGATATATACCTTCCATGCCCGTCACATCCTGGAGCCTCGTAGGGACCGACGTCTGGCTATGCTGGACATGCTGCCCGCTGACGTTCCCTCCCCGCGTCCATTGCTGGGGATTGTATGGCACGGCTGGACCCGAGCCCCTCATGGCCATGGGAGAAGCAGCGGCGCTGGGGGAAGGCGCATACGTCGAGGGCGTTGGGGAAGGCGTGAAGGGCAGGCTCAGAGATGAGGAAGTCCCCGGCGTAGACGACGAGCCATGCAGGTACGCGTGGGGGGAGTGATGGGGCGGGGCGAGGGTGGTGTTGAGGAGGGGAGGTTGCACAGCGAAGCGCCGGGGAGATATCTGCGGAGCCTGGAGGTGGGCGGGATGCGGTGAGGGCGGTGGTGGAGGCAGTCGGGGCGACGGCGGCGCGGGACTGTAGGCGTGCTCCATGGCTGCCACTATCAACTTTGATGTCAATTAGGGCTGGCGGCTCCCAAGTGGTACGGGCGAATCCAGCAGCGGAGACGCGATGGGGCGGCGTTGGTCGCTGCACCACTCTCGACGTTGTCACCTAGCACGCGAACGCAGAGGCCGAGGCGCGCAAGGATGCTGGGTCATGCTGTGTGTCGGTCAACGATGAGGATGGAAGGGAAGGCGGCCAATTCGACGCCGGGCAAGCAGACGTCGATCATGTCGGGCACGCGGCTTGCACGTCTAGACTCGATGCAGTGTCGACGACGGAGGTTTGGCCCTGTAGCGAGGCTTGACTTTTGCTTGTCCAGCGAATGGGCGCCGCCTCATGCATACGCCCACATGCACCTTATGCGGCATCCCTGCCCGCGACCAGACGTCGGCGGCTAAGTAAAGAACAGGCACCACACGGCCGCCATCCTCAGGCCATATCTGCGCCCGTCTAGCAGCCCTCGGAACAAGCACTATCAATCCCAGGTGTGCTGCAAACCGCCGATGTATTCCGGGCGAAACTCGGACAGCCTCGTGACACGTTTGTCGTCCTGTCCGACATGCGACCGTTGTGGTGTTCGTCTTGGTATCCAAGAAGAAATCCCCACACGGGGCGATATAAATAGTCGTTGTGGGCCCACTCCAACACGCGCAACGGCCCACCCCAACCCGGACCCTAAATCTCTACACCACCATGCACCGCCATCTCGAAGTGTCCTGGTGCCGAGTTGCTTTTCGCTGGCCGAGGAGGCAACAAGTCCAATTATAACGCAACACAACATTCGTTCCCAATGTCGCATACGTGGACATTGCTACCGATTATACATGATGATGCACATTCCTTTACGAGTTGGTGGTTGTGTCGCAATCCTATCATGGACTGAGGTGTGAGACAAAAGGCAGACAGATGACCGTGGGAGGAAGCGATTGCTTGCATGCTGATGGCCGTAGTACGGTTTTCGGCAATCGTGCATTCCTAGACCCAGGTCTGACAGCGCGTTAGCCCCAGACGCGGTCATGTATAGTGGCGGCACAGTACCACGTTATAGATGACAGCAGGGCGTTCTCCGCGTCCAAACCCGGCTGATGATGTTTGATCATATTAAATCAGCCGGCGCGCCATCAGATGATCAGAAGTGACGCTCAATGGCAAATATACATATGTGGTGCAGGACCACATGTGGCAGCAATATGTACCATGCTGCAAGCGCTGTCTACCGAAAATGCCCATGAACGCCTCGCTCAAGTGCTCAACCCACAAAACATGTATGAGCTGGTGCAATGATCTACCGCTCACTTGTCTTAGTCGTCCTTCTTCGGTTCCGGTGCCGGGTCATCCTCGTCGTCCTTGGACTTCTTCTTTTCCTCCTTCTTCTTGCGGTCCTTCTTGAGTGCTTCCTGGACTTTCTCGTCCTTCTCTTCTTGCAGTTCGTCCCACTCAACATCGTACTCGTTGGCAACAGCCTTGATCTCCTTGCGAAGGGCATTTCCGTCTTCGATCAGGACTTCCCACTTGCGCAAATCAAAATTATGTTGCGCGTACAACTTCTGCTGTCGGCGAGATACGGTGAAGTTCATGGCAGACCGGTAGCTGACTTCGCGGTTGTGGTAGAGGAACCATACGTAACCTCCGATAAGAGTGGAGAGACCCACCAGATACTGTCAAACTGTTAGATGGAACCAGAATCGAGAGTGACCAAACTTACTGTGACGGGCTCCATGACATCCCAGCCCAGCTCTGTCTGGAAGGTGAGGTAGTACACAACGCACCACCATCCGGCGATGCCCACAAAGCCAGCCCTTGCAACGTTCTTTGCCGCCGCCTGTGCCAAGTCATCGCACTCCTTCTTCACGCTCGCCATCTCGCTAATCTTCTTGGACGTCTTGCGCAGACGCATTCGTAGATAGTAGGTCCTGTCGTTGAAGCTGGGCACACCAACCCGGATCTCCTCTGGCGCACCTTCAATCTCAATGGCGAATTCTTGCCCGCGAGCAGCATCGCGGATGAAGTCTCCAATCTCGGTCGATGAAGACCATCGCACAAACTTGCGCTCGCCTTGCTTGTCTGCTGGTGCTTCCTGACCCTGTCCGGAGTACGACTCGACGCCTCCCTTTCCAGGCCCACCTCGCAGCTGCTCAGCTTGCTCAGGTGTCTTCCGATCTTGGCTGTTGAGCTTCCCTGTTTTCTGGACCTTTCCGTCGATACGGATCTCATCGACCTGTCCAAAGTCCTCCTCGCCGTCTTTCTCGCTGAGACTCTCGCTTTCGTTACTGACTGGTGTGCTTTCCACTTCCTCCGGCTCTGCGTCGTGCTGCATTGAGTCCTCGGCGCGAAAGTAGACATTCGGCTGACGATCACGACCCTCCTTGTCCTTAATTGTGGGTAGCTCGGCTTGTATCAGGCGTTCGAGGTAGGAGATGGGTTGCTGTGGGTGGACGAGGAGTGCTAGCGGTTCCACGTCTTTGCGATCGGTGTTCATGTCGCTCGTCGTGAGTGGCAGGATGATCTTAAGCATCCGCGACGGGGTAGTGAGAAGTTTGCCTATCTCTTGTTAGTGACGAAGTCCTCATACAATAAGAGAGGCATACCCTTGGTCATGGCTCCAGCGCTCCTCTGTCGCGCGACAGGCGGCAGGTCGCTTCCTTCCCTGTGCCATGGTGTTCGTATTTGCTTGCCCTTGTCTTCCTTCAGTTTCTTTGCGAAGTGGTCCTTCTCTTCCTGTGTGATGTTTTCATTGAGGTCTGCAGCAGGCCGCGCATTGGAGTTGCTGTAGTCTCCATACTTGTCAGTCTCCTTGTCCAGGCCTCTGGGCTTGGTCGCATAGCATCTGAGCTGGGAGGATGCCCTAAGCTGTATTGATATGCGTGGAGAGTTGCGTGTGAACAGTGGCGCGCATCGAGCGGTCGGGAAGGTTGAGGCGCGTGGGAGCGAGGCCAGCGCCGACAGTCGGTGCCTCATTGTCGGCTCGGGGATGATGCAATGACCGGGGGGATCGGATCGCGGCGTAATACACGGAGACGCGAAGACGTAGTTGTGTCGACATTTCAACAGATCTCAGGAGACACACGCGACAAGCAGGGTTCCAGCATCCACATCTTGGGCGACGTCATTGCTGGTAATGAGTGGCTTGAAGCTGTGGCTGCGTGGCTGGAGGTCCTCATCAACATCGATGTGCCAGGTGCGATCTTCCGACATATCTCACCTCTACCTAGACGATGCAACTTACACTACTCAGATGCACTTGCCGTAATACTAACAAATTCTTCCGTAAGCTATTCGATCGTAAGACTTAGCTGTGAGAATGGCATAGACGAGATGTCGATACTTCAAACTATCGATGTGGATGTGAGTCGCAACATCGGCGGTAACGGACATAACGCCTCTGAGTACGCCAATTGAAACAATTATGTGGACATCACGTCAGATTCTTCACCGACGAAGTTCGGTTCTTGTTAGGAGTGCGTGAGAATTAGGAGTACGTGAGGCATGAGGGTAACGCGGCTTTAGCGGAGATATTCGACTCAACATCACTTATCCACGAAGTTGCATGGGTCCGCTAATGCAACTGGCTGACACTCTCAAAATCTGTATCACCGAACGTATTCCAAGTTGCCATGTGTAAATATATAAGAAAGACCTATATGGGCAAGTCCTGGATTATCACACCATCTCACCAACTTCCACTTCTACCCCATAACGTCTCGTCTCCACGCAGCCAACTCCATCAAAATGGTGAAGACATTCCAGTTCCAAGACATCCAAGTCCCATCTCCCGGTTTTGGTTGTATGGGCCTCAGTCATGGACTGGGTAGCAACCTCAGCCTTGAACAAGCCGAGCCCGTTCTCCTCAAAGCTATTGAACTCGGTTGCACTTTCTGGGACACTGCCGTCGTGTACCAGGCTGGTGTGAACGAGAAGCTTCTAGGAGACTTCATCCGAAAGCACAACGTCCGCGACAAGGTTTTCAGTAAGTTCTCCTAATTAGAGATCAAGATCTCGTGCTGGCAGTATCGCTGATAGTCTATGTTCAGTTGCCTCAAAGTGTGGCGTTGCATGCTTCGATGGCGAGTCAGGTGTAACCAACAGCCCAGCTCATATCAAGAAGTACATCGATGGTACCATTGAGAGGCTAGGATTTACACCCGACCTCTACTACCTCCACCGCATCGACCCCAAAACACCCCTAGAGGAATCTATTCCCGCACTCGACGAATGCCGCAAGGCAGGCAAAACCAAGTACATCGGTCTTTCAGAGTGCTCAGCCAAGACACTCCGAAAAGCAAACTCCATCGCCAAAATCCACGCCATCCAAGCCGAATACTCCGCCTTCGAAACCCTCCACGAAACCGACTCCCTCATCGCCACCGCCGCTGAACTCTCCATCTCCTACATCGCGTACTCACCCCTCGGCCACGGCTGGCTCGTCGACAACTTCGACTACGCATCCCCCGACGACTTTGCGCCCGACGACTTCCGGCGCACTGTCCCGGAATTCCAAGGCGAGAATTTCTATCGCAATAAAGCGATTGTGGAAGAGATTAAGAAGTTGGCGAAGAAGAAGGGGTGTTCGACGAGTCAGATCGCCTTAGCTTGGGTAAGTAGTCAGGGGATGATGCCGATTCCTGGGACGACGAAGGTGGGGCGGTTGGAGGAGAATTGGGGGAGTAGGGATGTGGAGTTGACGGAGGAGGAGATGGCGGAGATGAGGAGGATTGTTGATCAGGCGAAGCCGGAGGGGGAGAGGTACGGAGAGGCGCATCGGAAATGGGTTGGACATTGAGGGTTGGAGAAGACGGTGGAATGGGATTCTCCCATTCGTAGATTGTCAGGACATCGTTCTTGCAAATGATTCAAAGATAGACGCCATGTACGCGGCGCTGAGGGTATATACGAACGTCCAATCCAACCTTACGCAACGCCATCTGAAAGATCGATTCCACTGTCCAACATCCGAAGTACTGATAGAAATAACCACACCAACTCCCAAACCCTCCTACCGACTCCGATACGTGTCCAAAAACTTCAACCGTTCCACAATCCCACCCCACCCATCCAACGTATGTTTCTTCTCCAGCAATGCCAACTGATACCCATCACCACCTTCAACAGCATCATCATCTTCTTTACTCCATATACCCCTTTCCATCGGTAAAGGCTTGCCAACCTTCCATGCATCGAGTACTTTTTCTGCCAAGTCAGGACGCAGACCTGTGCGTTTAAGTGCTTTGCTGATGAATTCGTTGGACCATTTTTGCTCGTTTAGCTCGGTGTAGAAATCGACGATTTCGTCGCCGGTGAGAGGTGGGTCGGGGTCTTCTTCGCCTGTGGATGAGGTGGATGGTGCGGGGGATGAGGATATGAGGAGTGGTTGAGGGGGGTGCTGCGAGTAGAGGGTCCGGTCTGGATCTTCTTCTTCTCCTTCTTCCTGGAGAGAGCGGCGGAACTCTTCCATGGATTGGGTTGTTGATGCGTCAGATGGTGGTTGTTCGAGTGGTGATGAGAACCGCTGCGGTTGTCGAGGGTTCATGTTGGGGACGAAGTCTTGTGGTCTTAAGAACGTGTCTTGTGTCGGCGATGATAGGATGGCTTGAGTGTCGAAATTAGAAATCTTTTGTCGGGTAGCACGCGGTGTAGGTGTGTTTGAGGGCAAATCATCGTCAGATACTGAGTCTTGTTCTCGTGGCTGTGAGAGTGGGTGTAGCTCATCAATATCAGGGAAGTCATCTGACTCTATGCTTCCCGCCTCTTCTTCCTTCAGATCCTCGTCTATGTTGACGATGGTAGCATCTTCATCCATTGCATCGAGCTCTTGAGGCCGGATTTGCTCTTGCACCAGCTCCTCAGCATCTTCTGACGTCGACGTAGTCTGGGAACTCGCAGCAGAAGATATCTCCACAGGCTGGTTCTGCGCGCCCTCGGCTTTGATCGGTTGCATTGGCTCTTCCTGGGTAGGTGTCGCGCTTCCATTCTTCCGACGTTTCGTGGGAGGAGCTACTTCTTCCTCATCTTCCTTCTTCACAAAGTTGTCTTCCCGTAATCGCTTAGTGTACCTGGCAAGCTGCTCATCATAAAAGTTCGGAGATTCTTGGCGAGCGGTGGATGATGACGGCATCTTAGGCTCTGACGCAATTTTGGGTGGGTTTCGGGGTTGCGGTAATTCCTCAGAGTTCGCTCCCTCAGAGGCTGACCGCTGTACTGGCTCCACTCTATTTCGTGTTGTTGGAGAAGGTTGTGACAGTGTTTCGTCTGGTTTCTCGATCTCTGCTGGATGCTGACTGAGCGCCTGACTCCGCCTTGCGTTTGCGGCATCGTGCTTTTCTTCCATCTTCTTCCTGATCTTCTCCCTTTTCGATGTCGGATCGCGCAACCACTGTGGACGGACTACCATCTCGTAATACTGCCGCCACTGCTCGGCAGTTTGGTTTCCCTGATTCTCGGCCCACCCATCCCAAGCAGAGAGGTAATCGTCTTGTCCTTCCACGCCATCGATGAAATCTACAAAAGCATATAATTCCAGCCAGTCGTCTGTGCTGAACAAGACTTCTAACTCTTCCACACTATAGTCGCTGTTCGCTTTTGTTTTACCCATCTTATCGAGGTTTGTCTCACTTGGAGTCTGTTCTGTTTTAGGTATTTGCTGTTCTGTAGGCTTGGAGGGGGCTGGAACTGGGGGCATACGTTCGTTCGACTGGTCGGAGGGAGGAGACGGAGGAGCGTTGTCAGGTATCGTGAAAGCCGAGAGCGGACGTTTGCTAAGTGTCTTGACCCATCGGTCGCGCCATGACTGCCATGTATGCCGTGGGTACTGTCGTTCGTTAGCGACCACTCCCGCGCGCGTTTTCTTTGTTGGCGCATGCCTTGGCTTCGAGCTGCTTGTATAGCTCATTCCCGCTGATGGAAGCGCCTTTCGATTGAGCGTCGCGCACCCATTTGGAGAGTATCCTATCTTCCTCTGCTGTGTACGATGTCCTTCCGCTCTTCGTTGGTTGGTGGATGGAACCAGCCTCTCGCGCCTCACCTAGCGGCGGGCCGGCTGTGTAGTCTTCGGGATCTTGGAGTTCTCCCTCCTTGATGGACTTTTCTATGAATTCATACGATGTTGATCCGGGAGGACAGTCTCTCCGAGCGTGGTCGACGATGAGGTAGTCCGCCTTCTTCTCCAACGCAACGATCTCTCCGCCATTGGCCTTGATGTCGTCCAGCAGCCGTTTCCGCGACGCTACGCGCTGCGCAACCCAGAATTTCTTGCCAGCAAATAATTGGCCGCCTGACGCGAAATCGAAATCCTCGGCGACGTCGGTGTATACGGTCGGCCCAGCCATGGTGGGGTGGTGTTGTCGGGTTATGGTGGTGGTGAATGACGCGTTGGCTCAGGCGCGACGCGTGCTCACATGGGACGCATGATTCACGCGGGGTCGCTTAGCCTCCGCGGCTGCTCAGCCCTATCCGACGCTTGCGCTGTCACTTCTGTGAACTGACAGACAGAGCGCGACGTGATGCCATAGAGCCTCGATCCGCGTCTTCATTCTGTTCCGCCATGCGTAGTGTCGCCGTCTGCAGGTCTCTTTCACCATGACCGTCGCCCGCACCATCATCATCTTCACCATCACAGTGTCGCTGGTGACTTTTGTAGCTTTCTTCGGACGACTGCCGGCTTTCAGGTATCTCTATCCCTTCAAGCTTGCATCTTCCGCTCTAATATTCCCAGGAACACGCCCATAGGCTTCCTTAACCGCCTCTTCCTCATTCACATCCCCTCCGCGTTCCGAAAGCTCGACCTCGCTCTCACCAATGGCCGCATTACCAATGGCGGCGCCCGCCTGGGCAACTACCTCATGCACGACAAGCATCCGCTAGTCGTCATCTTCTTCCTAGGCCTCGTAACCGCATGCGCGACGCTGTTCCTGCCCACCGTTTGGCACCTCATCCGCCCGCACCACAAGCTCCTAGCCTTCGTTCTGCTACCGCAGCCGTACGTCTTCCTATATCTTAGCGCAAAAAGCAACAGCCAGACCTACATCACCACGCTCAATCATGCCGAGCAGATGCGACACTACCCGTACGACAGGGTGCTGTACTATCCAGGCACGCCGTGCCGGACGTGCAAGTTCCTGAAGCCGGCGCGGAGTAAACATTGCAGTATATGCAAGACATGCGTGTCGAGGATGGACCATCATTGCATATGGGTCAACAATTGCCTGGGGCGCGGCAATTACAAGTGGTTCCTAGCCCTGTTGCTATCCACAGGCATCCTAATCGCTTACGGCGCATACCTGGCTTACTACAGCCTTTCGCCGTTGGTTCACAGACACTACCTGAAGTACGAAGGATGGTATAGATACAGCCCTAAGCAAGGCGTAAACACGAAGAGCTGGTTTGGATACTTCGACAGGAAGACCCACTACTTTCTCATCTACACAACCATCTACCTCGACATGGGCGGTGTGCGCGGATCTGGGGTTGGACTACTGGCTCTTCTCACATGGCCGCTTCCATTGGGTCTGCTCGCATACCACGTCTACCTGATCTGGGCCGGCATGACTACGAACGAGAGCGCCAAGTGGGCAGACTGGCGAGACGACATGGCCGATGGCGTCGTTTTCTTGGGCCATAGGCGGGAAGACACTATGCAAGAATACCGCTCAGCAACACCTGCACGGGAACATACACATGCCTCCGCGCATTCTTCTTCGTCAACGTCGCCATTCCCGACTCCTCCGGAAACCCCGCCAGAAGACGAAGAGCCGCCAACGACCTGGCCGCTAGAAAGTAGACATATTCTCATTCGCACGCGAAATGGTCAACCACCTAAAACACTTCCGAGCAGCATACAGTCGGTAGCAAGAGAAGATAGCTTTGAGCGTGTGCGGAATCTGGCGGCGGTGGAAAATGTGTACGATTTGGGTTTCTGGGACAACATCGTTGAGGTGTTGTCGAACTGATGTATATTTTGAATCAGAGTTTTGTACCATCATGATAAACATTCACATGGATTCCGGCATGGCCTATCTTTGAACCTCTCCTTGCGTCTATAAATTGCTCCTCACACCTCCCACAACCCTTCTTCATTCCCACCTTCACCAAAAACAGCGTTCGAAATGACATTCACGTTCGACCCATGATCGTCTCTCTCAAAATCTAAATGCTAAAGCACATCGCGCATGTTCCTGTGGTATCCAGAGAGTTGGCTTTAGGCAGTTCTGGAGACATGTTTCCCATTTTCGATGTCTCAACAGGGACAGGGTATCCTTCGACATACTCACAGCTACAAGATGAATTGACAGCTCGCACATGTGTATTCATTGGACATTTCCGGGCTTCCTTGCCTGATTTGCGCATGTGTGCAATCTCTTATAACCATCACGTCACATACCAAAAATGGGTGGAAAATTGCACATGATCTCGCCTTCTGTCTCGAGCCCAAAAGACTGCCGTGCATCGAAGCTCTGACGTGAGTATAAATGTCTACTTCGCCGCTGCCTTCCAGCTCTTTACTTCTACCACAACTTCAATGTTCGTGTTTCCAAAAGACTACAAAAGTACTTCCTATGTGCGCGAGTCTGGCTTGCGCTTTCGATGTCTTCAAAGAATGGAACTATGATTCCATGTCTCGAGACTCCAAAAGAACTTCCTGAAGAGATGATGTTTGCGGAACTACCAAAACAGAAACCTACAGGGTCCATGTGTGTCGTCGTGCAACAGTATCAAAACGTAGCCGATAAGTGGCCATGTCGAAGTGGAGACGATGTGTATAAAGACCGTCCGTTCCGGCTTCCTGGACTATCCGTTACTCTTTTTCCAACATCAAAAACCACATTTTCAAGTATCAACGAAATGCTTTCATGTGTGAGAGATTTGCTTTCTCTTTCGAAAACTCGAAATTCGAATTCTACAATAACATGAATCCGGGGAGGTCGTCTTTTGTACCAGACAACGTATTGTCGCGAAGAGCCAGCCATGACCGAAGCGCGTGCTCGGACAATGCCATCAGATAGTTATGGTGCTACACTGACCGCATGTCATGATAGCTTCAGCCAAACTTACAAGGACAGCGCCTCACTCAAGCTTGTCTTGCTCGCTGATGTCAAGAGCGGCAACGAATACAGCCACCGGACCACTGCAGAAAGCTATGAGCTTTCGAAACTCGAAGTCTGGTTTCACATAGTGAGAAACAAAGACAGGAACATAGCCGAAATAGCAGTATCAATGCCGCATGCAGAGTTTTTCTTCGAGCGTTGAGCGCTAAAGCGCGGTAGCCGTACAAAGTCGCACAAGAGCGTGACATGGCACAAGAAGTTGCTGAAACATGGTTCGTCTTCACTGCATACACACCACCAAAACTTGATCAAGAATCATCCTCTAAAATAATGTATATCTCTGGGTACAACCATAGCATGATACACGGTGATACGAGTTGTGACCTGTACTAGTGACTATTATCTCGCTGAGATTCAAGCATCCGTCTTGGCTGGTGTGCTCGGAAATTTGTCTTCGCGATTGCCATGTTTGAACGCCCACGTCGAGTCATCCATGCCACTGTGTGCTGCTGTCATGTACTTTCTGAAAGCCGACGACATCGTTACAACTTGTTTGAGATCATCTTCCACCATCTCAGGCGGGTCCTCGCTCTTGTCATTCTTTGCTCTATGAACAGCGAGCGCGACAGCCGTCTGGAAAGCTAGTAGATGTCAGTACTCATGAACAAGGAATGCATTTTATGCGCCAAAACCTACCATTCCTGATCTCTCGTCCATTCCACTCCAATGCCTGGACCTCTTTACTCTTGACGTAACTCTTAGCATCATACTCGTACTTGATAACAAAGCCACCACGCTTGGAATCGTGGCTCAATTTCTTGAACAAGTTGTCCCAGACTTTTGCGCGTGCGACATCTGTGAGCTTCTCGTAACCGAGCGAAAGATGGATGCGTGAGATAAAGGCTTCGTCGAAATGACCAACACGGTTCGTGGTGAGGAACAAGATGCCCTGGAAGTAATCGAGTGCGCGTAAGAATACTACACTGCTGATCAGTGTAGTTCATATGCTCAATGATTCTATCTCACCTGTTACGATGCCGTTACGCTTGAGATCATGGGTCGTGCGTTGTTCAAGATACACGTCTGCTTCATCCAGCAAAACGATGGCGTCCCAATCACGGGCTCTTTTGAAGTAGCGCAGAAGCCGAGACTCCAACACCGCAGGCTCATGGCCAAGATCTGATGCAGTTATGCTGAGTAGAGGGCGCCTCGTATACTCAGCTACTGATTCTGCGCTCTCTCAGTCGAAGTTCAGAGCATTACTGAACTATAGTCTTACCTGCGGTGAGCGTTTTGCCTGTTCCTGGAGATCCGTGCAGCAGGATGATCTGGCCCTCACCTTTTCCCTGTATGTAATCTGCAGTGAATCGTTTCGACTGATCGCCATCGGTGTATATGTCAGCGACAGCCTTGATCAAGTCTTTGCTTTTAGCGTCCAAGACCAGTTTATCGATTGCATTGTCGGCCATACTCGGCTCTGCCAGTCCTTTGACTTCCAGAATATCTACATTCTGTTAGTACACCCAGGAAGTCGTTTGAGTACGGCCTTACCATAGCTGCGCTCGTTCAAAATGAAAGCGTACATATGCGATGCCATGAGTAGATAATGATGCTCTGTAAGTTCGGCTGTGTCGCTGGGTACGATTCCATGGTAGTCGTTGAAGCGCTCCTTCACGTAGATCTCTGTTGTACGTGTTTTGCAGTCACTGCACTCGCATTGCGGCACACGGATGGTATTGCGGAGGACATCAGCATCATCTGCAGGCGCATGGTGATCAGACTTGAGACCATCCAGTTCCCAGGGTGCCGTTTCGTGTTCAACGACTACGCGCGTTCTTTTGTACTGTAATCCTGAGTTATATGTACCGTGGTATTGATTGTAGACTTACTGTCTTCGAAGCTTCCTTCAAGCCCTTGCCCGTGTACTCGAGAAAGCATGGTCGCTTTGAGTAGTGGAAGTATCTTCTCCCTCGACTAACAAGCTCCTCTCTCAGTCTACCCTTGTCATTCCCGTCGTGAAACTTCACCGGAAATACTGAAAGACTAGTTATCTCTCGCTCATTGTCGAAAACCTTGACATCGATATATCGGCGACGAGGTGTGATCTGTGTCCCTCCAAAAGCCAGGTTCCAAACGGCTATGGTATAGTCGCGAATCGATCTTGTATCATGGGTTGGAGCTGGGATACATTCAACCTCATCCAGTACATATACGTTAAGGGATCCGTCGCTCTCCATAACGTAGACATCTGTACCAGGCTTGAGGAGAAGCCAGTAGTTTTTGAATGAAACCACGGGCACTCTCCTTTCCTGAAGTGATTGGAACTTCTCGAACGGTACACCTGATTGTAACATCAGATAAGATCGAAGAAGCTCGATGTGCTCGTCGCACTTTTGGTTGAAAGCGGCAGAGTGCTGGGCGCGAAGCCCTGAACCATCGATCTTGTAACCGAGCAATTGATCCAAGTGATGATACAGATCTTCGAAAGGGTATAGATACAAGCCAGCTTCTAAACCAAACTCTTCTCGACACTCTCCAGGATATTCGATAATCGATTTCAGTAAGTTTAGCAGATACGAAGAGTTTATCTTGAGCTTGGTATAGACAACACTGTCTTGAGATCCAAGCGCGGCTTTACTGTCGACTTTGCCATGTCTTTTGTTCTCCGAATGGCGGTAATGTGGTGTGACAACATCCTTTATCTCCTCGAGGGCGGGTAGTGTAACGTCATCGTCTCCGTGGGCAACATCCACAGGTTGATCAAACGTGTGTCGGGCTTTGAAGGTGTTGTACGCAGTAGTTCCTTCGAAATAATCGACTGTGTATTGTATCCGGCATTCGTGTTTGGCTGCTTTGTACGCCGAATGTGGTTCGAAGTGAACCTTCATGTCGTGTTGGATGACTTGTTCCCACGTCTCAGGGTGGATGTAGCCGTGATCGGGTGCCCAGACAGTGATGTCGCCGTTGGAAATGTCGGTAAGAACTTGGCCATCTTCTAGGGCCAATGATTTGAGCAGGACCTGAACGACCTGGTCATGTTAGACGCAATAGAATCGGCATAAAGAAGCAATACAACGATAACTTACCTTCCATGAGTAACATGCCGCCCATGGAATGACGTAGTAGTAGTCGGAGACGAAACAAGCGCTTGCGTTAATAAATCGGTGACCATATCTGCTAACATCGCAAGGTTCATTCGAAAAGCTTGGATCGTTCATCCCAGCCGCGATGGCCGCGTTGATGGCCGCATCAAGACGGTTCATGTCGATTTTGTCCTTGTGGGGCGTTCTGTGTTCAAAGTTCCCTTCGGTGTGTTGACGGGCTGGATCATTAGGCCTGCCTTCGCAGTCATCTTCGCAATCGTCGTGTTTCCCTGTAAATGATCTCAGCCAGGTTGTGAATACGGGGTCATCTCCGCCATCCATGGCGTCTAGATTATTGAATGCCTCAGTATCAGATGATACCTTGACAGATGCTTCGCTGACTGCTTCTTCAGGGTCTTCTGCCAAGTTGGACTCGCCTTCTACAAACTCTTCAACATCCGTGGGCGTGTCGTGGCCGAAAGCACCTTGAGGAAGCTGAGTGGCGGAGGTCATGACGTTTGTGATGACATCGGTGGCCCCCATCGTAGACTTCATGGATTGCTACCGCAAGAAAAGTGGTGTAGTTTGCTGTTTTGTATCTCATGCCCAGGCTGAATGCAAGGCGCAGGTCTGCGCCGAAGCTGTGCAACTTCGGGTGCTTTCAACCAATAGTAGTTCCAAATCCTCTTTTGAACACACATCCCCGCAGGAGCCGGTGAACCTTTTTGAGTCCGTCATGTGGCATGTACGGGAGCCAGCATAAAGCAATATTGCGAGGATGGTACAACATCGGACAAAAGAACTTTCCAGGGCGTATGATCCTTTTTGCTGAAGTCCATTTCAAGCCAATATTTGTTGTGTCATGTACCACCCAGTGTGTGTATGCGTCGCGTACGCTGTGCCAGTACAGAAAGCTCAACAAGCTACGGATGCGAGGGATGTGCGTGGCGCAACAAATACGCTGACGCAAGGCGAGTTATGGCAGTGTCAAGCAGCGTCCGGTTCGTTTTGCTGTTCCCTCTATCGAAGACAATCGGAAGCGCGCAACCATGCAGACTGAGGAGAGATTGTTAAGAGACGACATCGAGAGTCTTGAAGGAAGAGCCACAGTAAGATGCTTTACGAACAGCTTGCCAGGCTCAACGCCGCTCGAGCGCGCAACCAAGAGCGCGCAAGAGGAGCGAGAAGCCTCAGAGAAGCAGCAACACGAGATCAGATTGCGAGAACTGTTCGAAGACGACAATGGCAGGTTCGTACGAGCCACTAATCATGGGCTGTCTCCCGCTAATTTGGCCAAATAGTGACGGCATATTCGACGTCCTGGAGGATGCCAAACGTCAATTAGCGAGAGTCTGCAGTGTGGTCGAAGCATCCGATCATCCGTCGTCGCTAGTGAAAATGCGCATGAGCCGAAAACCGGCTAAGGCGAAAGCCAACGAGATCATGCAAGGAATGGCCGCTCATGGATTCGGTCAATTACGTGACTATGTCAACAGCCTCGAGGCGACCTTGAAAAGCAAACAGGGGAAGGTAAGTAGCGTTCAACAAGCCAAAAGACGCCGACATACTATACTAATCGTTCCTCCAGTCCGGACAGTTTGCACAACGATTCCGAGACGTTTGCAAGATGCTAGATGACCACAAAGGTGTATTCAAAATCTTTCCGTCGCAGAGCGGCTACGTGTCGGTATTGTGCGGTGGTATATCTGTCATTATCAGCGCTGCTGTGAATCACGATGAAATCGCCGAAGCCATCTCGGATGCCGTGACAACAGTCACCGAGAAAGCAGCACGGGCGAGCAGATTCCAGGCTCTTCTCAGTACACGGACGATGCGCAGACTCTTCTCCAAGCTTTATGCACAGATCTTCCTCTTCTATCGCGATGTCATTGATTGGTATGCAAAGTCGCGCACCTCTCGATTCTTCGCAAGTTTCAACGAGTCGCTGGGAGAGCGATATAAGAAGACGCTAGAAAAGATCCAGAATACGTTGGAAGAGATGTATGAGGCGGTCAACTTAGCTCACTTCGCCCGCTTACAGCTGCATTGTACCGAATCAGAACGGTACAATGAAAGTCTTCGTCAGCGACAGCAAAATCCCGGTTCTGAAGGATGGTGTCCAGGGCAGCGTGCACAGATGATGTTCATGAGCTCACACAAAATGGCATGTATCGATGCTGCAACTCGCACTAACACCGGATGCTCCACACGGGAGGGTGCTCTGTTATCGCAAAGACAGGCACCCAGGAGCACCAATAGTCTAAGCCGAACCGTAGCGAGAGACCTTACAGCTGGACTACGAGATCTCGTTGTGGGGGCCGAAGGCCATTCGCTTCTCAACGATGGCCGGTTCTGGCTCCCCGGAGCCGATGTAACGCTCAAGCTTCACGCCTGGTTCGATCCCGAAGTGGTTTCCCCGACGATATGGGTATCAAGCGACGACGTCCCGCAATCTGATCGTTCAGGCTCGTACGCAGCTGCACTGAACATGTTAGTCGTAGCGTGGGAGGCGGAGATGCCGATGATTTCGCATTTTTGCGAGAGGCCTCGTTTCGCGACCATTCATATAGATCGCGACGTAGAAAGGGTCGGCCTCATCGGACTGGTGTACAGCCTTATATCGCAATTGTTGCAATTCCAGTTCGACGGAGACGAATTCGAGTTGTCTCAGGACACGCTAGGTCGATTGGATGGTTCGGATGGAAGCTGGCCGACAGCTCTCGGAATGTTCTCAGCACTCCTGGCAGCAACTCCACACCTCAGTATATGCGTCATTGACAGCCTCAACGACCTCGCGTTTGGCGCAGGTGCGCAGTGGTGCGATGCTTTCCTAGGAGTGCTGTTTAAGCACCAGAAGTCATCAGCGGGCATCTTCAGAATTCTGCTCACCACCACCGGGCAGTCTCGGGTACTGCAGGATCATGTGAAGGTTTCAGATCGAGTGTTCACCCAGACAGAAGCGCGAGAAGTGATCCGAGGTGGGCGTTGGTACACAAGTTTAGAAAAGTGAGGTGGTTGGACGCGTGGTGTTCGCGTTGGAAGGTTCACTGGCGCGAACTCGTGCCTCGGCGATGGAGGCTTGGCAGCCATGGGAACATGAGGTCATCTACATCGTTCAGATCTCAGTCATGCACCACATCAACAATCATCGAGTATAGTTGGTTTTGTCTTTAGTTCCTCGATGTATTGGCTTTTTCATCTACTAGTTTGCTTCTAGCCCTCCAATATCGACGCACATCCGTAGATGGTATACGTGCCTACAACGACACCGAGCCCAAGGCGCGTTTTCCTATTATTAGTAGGCGTGTCATCCCCGGGTATATGTAGCCTACAAAGCGCTTCCTCGGTCTTCCTCGTTAGGTTCGGGGTTTCTTCTCGGGCATCTACATGTGTCCTTCTAATCCTTACTCCAGTATTCAGGTCCAGGTAAAGTACACGCCTGGTCAGACAGAAACCCATTAGTCAAAGTCGATAAGGTCCCCGATATCGTCGAATGGCCGGAGATCTTCCATCTTGGTCGGTGCAGCCAGCATAGCTTTGTTCTTCACTTTGTCATTCGATGGGGCCACCCAGCCAGCGACCTTGAGATCCATCCCGTGCATCGAAGCGGGCATTATACATCCCCTAACCTTATTGCCTGCTACAGCGCATTTTTCGCTCTGGCAGACGTGTCCGTGGAAGCAATTTGAAGATCTGCAAAGGCCACCCTTTTTGCATGGGTGGCGAATCACTTGGTACTGCAGCGCCCTGTGTGCTTCGGGTTCCAACACGCCGTGGTAGTATCGACATTTTGCGATGGTGCAAGAGTTGCCTAGATGGTGTTGGTTGCACAGCTTATCCCGTTTGTAGTGCGCCTTGTAGATATCGATCTCCGCTGCGGGTGGCTTGGGCACATAAATGTCGATGCGCTGCTCTGCCGCATTCACGGGTAGGCGGCCGTCAATGTAGCAGGATGGCAACTTGCCTTCGTATAACGTAGCCCCCACAGTCTCGACATCTCCACTAATATCGATGAGACTGGTGGAAGTACTTGTGTTGCTCGTGGAACGTGCTTTCTGAGACATAGTTAGTAGAAACTTGTGACATAATGATGAACTCAACGCACTGCAGCAGTACCAGCCATGGCAGACTCTATGGTAGTGTCAACCTGCGTTGCATCTCCATCATTGACGCTACCAATGGAAGGTAGAGAGAACACGTTGCCGAATGTCTCAACAGGAAACCCCAGCTCACTTAACCCGCCAGTATTGCTCGTGCCACGCACAAGTGTCACCTTCTTAGCCTGGCCGCGATAGGGATATAGTGCTCGGCGGTACAAAGGCGAACCCGCAGCGGCAAGGAAAACATGCTTGCAGTTCGGGTCGGCCATATAGAATTTAAAATTCTCTATACCAGGTATGTCAGCATCAGATATTTATCACAGAAGAACACCATTACCACTGATCTTCGTCGGCACATGGCCCTCATCGCCTGTGTCCACAAAGTCGAAGAAGGAAGAGACCTTGGTGAATTCGCCGAAGTGGAACCCAAGGGATCTAGGCTCCGGAGACGCGAGATTGGCTGCGGCAGCGCGGGTCGAGAGAGTTTTTAGGCAGGCGAAAATCTTGATGAAAATATGGTACCCGCTTCGTACGACTGCGGGAAGTATGGCTGCAACCCTCTCGCCTACGACAGCCCGAAGACGCTTCGCTGTCTCAGCTCCTCCTGACGTCTTATTGCGGTATAGTTCATCAAGAAACTGCTGAGATGTCAGATCGTGATCAAAGCCAACGGTTTGGCACATACCTGGTGGCTCGTAGCATCGATGAGAACGAGCACAATGGCATGGCCGCCTGAGGCTCTAGCAATGCTGGCTGTACTCGCTTCTTGTACGTCCTCTACCGCAGTCTGAGTTGATACAGACTCTGTAGCCACCTTCTTTGCGGCGGCAAGAATGCGCTCGCTCGCTTCGATGCACCTCTCTACGTACGCGCCGTGATCCGTCGTTGCATTCTGGTAGCAAATTAGCCGTCAAACACCAATAAAAGTGCAATTGGGAAGACATTACCGCTAAAGTTTTCTGCAGGGCTCGGCCATCCGCCAGCAGGCCCTGTATCTCAGCCTCCTGCTTTGACGTATCCATGCTATTGCCGATTATCGAAAGGCGCAACGCGGTGTCTGAAAGTACTAAAAAAAGTAGCCGACGAACAAATTTTGCGCGACTCTGAAGAAGGAAGGAGAAACCAGGCAGAAGCGGAATATTGAGACTAGAGCATATTTTCCCAAAACGGTAAGAGCACTAAAGAGCAAACGCTCAAAGTTCACCTTCACCTCAAGTACTCGACGTGCCAAGAACCAAAAGGGACGTACTCTACCACCGGATGAAAAAGAGAACGTGCTTTTGACTCAGACTGAGGCCTTACATTGGTTTAGACTGGTCATTTGAACTTGTACTTTGTCATCGCGGCTCTTTCTCCTACACTCCTCTATGCAACCACATCATTAGCCTCCTTCTCCCTCCTTTGCTCTTCCTTCTTCCCCAGCTTGCCCGAGCTCTTGTGAATACCTTCAATCACCTGCTTGATCTCCTGCAAGAAGCGATCAACCTCCTTCTCCGTACCCACCGTTATCCTCAAGCAGCCCAGACATCCGTGCTCCTTGCCTCTGAACCGCACTACCACGCCCTTCTCTTCCGCCAAGCCCTCATACACCGCCAGCGCTGTCTCGTTCGATGGCTTACCGCCCTGATCTGCCTGCGCATCGAGTATCTGGTAGAGCAAGAAGTTGGACTCTACACCGCCGTGAAGGTTTCCGATACCAGGGATCTTGGGCAGCTCTTCGATCAGCCTGTCGCGCTGCTTGACGATGAGGTCCTTGTGGCTTTGCATGACTTGCAGGTGCTTCGGGCTCAGGGCGGCGCGCGCGATCTGGCTCGTTGGGTTGGGGATGTTGTAGGGCGCCTTCATGTTGTTGAGGATTTGGGCGATCGCTGGGTCGGCGAATGCAGCACCTAATCGAATACCTGCGAGACCGAAGGCTTTCGAGAGTGTCTGCATGACTACCAAGTTGGGCCATTCGGCGACCCACTCTGCCAGACTTGTTCCATTGGGCGCAAAGTCGATGTATGCCTCGTCCACAACTACGACACCGTTCCATGGGTGTTCCAGTATCTTTTGTACGTCCTCCTTCTTGAGTAGCTTTCCAGTTGGGTTGCCTGGCGAACACAGATACGCCAGCTTTATGCTCTTGTCCTCATCCATGGCCTTCAGTATCGCGGGAACGTCGAGATCGAAGCTTGGTGTTTGTAGAGGAATTTTGGCCAGCGCGACGTCGTTTACTTGCGCAGAGACACTGTACATGCCGTATGTCGGTGGACATGTCAGGATCTTCTCCTTGCCGGGGACGCAGAAAGCGCGGATGAGGGCATCGATCGCTTCGTCGGAGCCGACACCAACGAAGAGGTTGGCGGGTGTTATGTTCTTTGAGGTATGGGTGTGGGTATTTCGGAGGTTACAGAGGAGTTGCTTGAGTTCTTCTTGGTGGCTGTATGAAGCCGTCAGCGTGTGCGATACAAGCGGTCGCGGTGTGCATACGGATCTGGGTATCGGTTCAGGCCAAGCAAATCGACATCAATCGCGGAAGATGAGTCGGAGGTGCCATTGACATTCGCGCCAGGCAGCTTTCCCTCGCCATTCAAGTGTAGTCCCGGTCCGTATGCGTTCTCGTTCGCGTCGAGGAGGATGTTGGTGCCGTCATCTTTGTAATCGCTACGCGTCGTGAGCTGGGTACCGCGGTAAGAGTCATGGATATTCACCTACTCGCGCGCGCATCGATACGGCTCCAATGCGAGGATGTTAGACCGCGCGCATTTCTGCAGATCGAACGCCGTGTTGTTTGCGACCATTGTGTGTGTTGTGGGCGAATGAGAGAAGTTGAGGGTTGAAATGGAGGACCGCTATGTCCAGTTGAAGTTGGTGTTCGCGGGGAACTTTTTGTTTCGCGGGGCGGGACGCGGCGATGTCGGGAGTCATCACATCATCGGAGAACTATTTTGATTGATCGAACTTCGATACCAATTCATAGGAGCTAGTTCTCGGCGCAGGTAAATATGTCCATTTTCGGGTGAACTATTTACGTTTGGTGAGGGAATATGCAGTCGAAGCTGTTGGTCGAATGACATAGTACGTGAACCGTGGTACAAGCTTTCAAGCCAGGAGGTGATCACAAGCTGTTCACATTACGATCAGATTACAATAGAGATGCCTGGTGTACTTCAGTAGGGTACCAGATATCCTGCGGAATCCGAAAGTGTCTCGAGGACCTCTTCGGCCATGCGTCAACAGTGGCTTCGCAAACCACATACAGCGTAGTACGCACCTAGGTCGTCCAATAGAATACATTGCAAGTGCTGATAGTCTAGCCTCGAGTCTTTGTGGGTCTGTAATACATAGGCTTGATTTGATCTAGTCGATCTTGGTCCAACTTTTCCCTGCCCGATTTCCTGACTCGTATCTTTCCAAACTTCTTTCTCAACCACGTCAAGCATTAACGCCCCTCTTTATATTGCTTTTACTCTGCCCTCCTTCCATCAACGTCCGATATGGTCTAGTGGCTAGGATTTGCCGCTCTCATCGCAGAGTAAGCTCGCAGCCTCACAGCAGCGCAGTGCCGGCAAGGCCCGGGTTCGATTCCCGGTGTCGGAAACAGTTTCTTTTTGCTATTCTACACTTTCTGAACAACCTAGAAACATACTAGATATGTTTGGTTTGAATAGAATCATTTTTGCCAACTCAACGCACCCAAAACACCACCACCACCAACTCAAGCACACCCATGATCCACCCAGACGTCCAGAGCGCCCTCTTCTTACCCCCAGCAACTATTGGTACATTAGGGAACAATGGTGGTCGATTACTGTTGCGTCGAAGAAGCGAAAGTGCGGTTTGGCTATGCAGCATGCTCTTGGTTCTCACGACGGCCCCAGTTTGAAAGGCAGGCACATTATCTCAATGGTCAAATGTCGCGTTAGCGGTCCATCAATTCTCTCTCGCGCAATATAGCCACGAAAGCTTTCTCGCGATCGTTTCCAATATTTCAATCTGCACAGCGAATTGCTGCGTCCCCTCCTCCCCACACCCAGACATGCGCTTATTGATCCCGTTCCCTCTGCGTACCATCTAATTCCACAGGCGGCCCCGGAATAATCCTCACACTTGTTGATCCAGCTTCCACCGGCTCCGAAGTCCCATCCGTCTCAGCTCTCCATTTCCCACCCATGAAGCGCTTCAGCCCTCTTGAGCTTCCTTCCATCTCCGGCACGTCCGGGTGCTGTAGACGTTGTCGTTGCTTTCGTCTTCGCCAAAGATACAGGAGGATGACGATGCCGGCTATGACCAATGCGCCAATTCCCACAGCTATACCGGCTATAGCTCCGGGGCTCCTACTGGAGCTCTTGCGATTGGATTTGGTGGATGGAGGTGCGGGTGCTGGGGTTGTAGTGTTAGACGGGCTTGCAGCTTTGAAAGGGACTTTCATCACTGAAGCGAGCGATGACGCATACTCGACAGGGAATTTAGTCAAATCGCTGGTTTGCCAATACACCCATAATTTCTCTGCACCTGCGGAACCGGAAAGGACCTCAGTCGGCGGGTGCTGAAAAGTTGTTGGGATCACGGGTCCCGCGAATCTCACCCCAGTAACGCCGGAAACGCTTGAGGTCGAGCATATCGACGCTGTTAGATCCAGGGCAAAGACTGTAAGGTTTTTAGAATCACAGAGACTCCACGGGCTCAAGATGGTGGTAAAAGATGTGTAAGCCTTCATAGGAGATGTGAAGGTCTTTTCGCACTTTAATGCGCCAAGTGTCATACCCCTGGGTATACATGTAAGCCAATTTGTATTTGATAGTCTTCGAAGGGGGGTTTTAACCTGTCACAGCATATACCACGCCATAGCACCGAGCTTGGGAAACGCGCTTCGGTTATTTCAACCACATCTTGACCAGACGTACATATCCCGGGACTGTAGCCTGGCCTTGACTGGGAATACGGATTGCAACGTGCGAAGTAGTCGGTTGGGAGGCCATTGTCACGGCCGTCGGATCCACTCCAAATCTGCACTGGCTCAGTTGAGCCCACTATCCATTGAGTTTCGCACCCGGACGGAGGCTCGAAGAAGGTTGTCAGCGGAGCAAATCCGGACCCGTACACATCATACCAGTCCCTTGGATCCGTGACAGTAGTTGTTGAAATTGTGACCATGCTTCCTATTGGCAACGACAAAACGCACGAAACCAAGCGAGATAAAATGACGGAAGGAACAGAGGAAAGATCTGGAAGGCTGAACGATATGACAAAATGAACAGGACATTCCTGCGCGGGCACCACTAATCTTTAAAGCTTACTGGCTAAGCACTTTGCATATTATCCGACAAACCGTGACGCAGTATCGCAACCAAACCATCGGGACTGCCAATAAATCTAGGATAGAAGAAGAAGAGATGATCGGTGGTAAAGAGGCGAAGTTATGCAGTACCACCCCTCTAGCCCCAGCGATTCGTGCTGTGCTATAGTGCTGACCCCCACATAGCCTCCTGAAGAGACAGGGGAGAGTAAGCCAACACTTGACCATAAGGACTATCGCGTTCTTTCGATTCGTTGCTGCTAAAAAAGCTGTTCTCATGAGTGTTGACCGGGTTGCGGGTTGCGGCGTTTGTCAAGATCAAAAAAAAAAAAAAAGAAAAGGAAAACCCGCCCAAGTAGCAGACTAGCAGCATACATACTCACAAGATAAGTGCGATGTGAAGACGATAAGTTGTATTGAAGTCGACATTAACCTTCTGAACCTCAGAGTTCATCCATTCCACGCACGTCGCCTCCCACTAACATCTAGTTAGGCGCACCAGTACCACGTGGCCTGTGCGCTACAGCGCGATGCCTCTGTGGCTCTTCCCTGTATCTATGAAAAGTCAGTTTTATTCTCAACCAAGCACTTCAATCTCAACTTACTTCTTAACAATCCTCTCAATAGAATCCAGTCCCTTCTCCAAAACATCCATCCTAGGACCGTAACTCAACCTGACAAAGTGGTGGCACGGCGAATCGAAGAGATCCCTACGGCGACTAGGGTTCAAATCGAAGAAGA